AGAAGCCCTTCAGTAACCTTATCATGAGTCCTCTTACGAGCTCAGCTCCTGGAACAAAATAACTAAAAGGAATTAAGTTTGATTTTAAAAAGTTTTCAGTAGTCTTGGCAGGAAAAGGTTGGTTTTTTTTTAATTATTATTATTTATGACAACAACATTTTAAAAAAAAAAGTTAATAGGCATATTATTGCACAAGGTGTCTGGGTTTTAAATCTTCAGATTCTAACCTAAACCAGTTCAGATAGAGCCAAAACACGATTCAGTTCAGCTGCAAACTACCACACTTTTTGGGAGGCCAGAATGTGACCTCTCACCAAAGCCAAACCCTGGAACCAATTCAGAACAAAAGTGAGACATTGAACCCTCAAGCCCAGATAAACTCCGACGGGCTCTCCAATGCCAGCACTGTCAGTAACGACAGAGTCTTTCCGATTCACTTCTCTTTAAAGGCAGTTTTCTGCTCTTTTTCATGGCCTGAAATTATTGCCATGCTCTCTTCCACTCTGCTACAGAACACCCCAGTCAGAATTCTGTGACAAACCCACACATTACAGTTCTGAAAATACTCGAACTCTCATGTGACCTCCGCACACAAAACATTCCTATTGTACCTCATGTTTCCTGTTTGTGCTAATCCACAACTGGGCCACCAGTGAAAACCTTTTCAGCAGTTGCTCCACTTGGCTCTATCAGCAGGCGAGCAGAGATCCATATTTATGAAACAAAAACACAAACAAATGCAAACAGCCAAAGCTGGCTCTGCGCTTTTGACCTGCAAGGAATTTGCTTCCATTCATCCCCCTCCACTCCAGATCAGGACAGACCATACACAGGAGGGACATTTATCAGTCACGAGGCTGCACGTAGGGTGAAGATGCCAGTGGTGCAGTGGCCCAACCAAGGGCTCTGCCCAGTGTCCCCCGAGCCTGCTGCCCACCCACAGCTCAGTCACTTCACTTCATGGCAGCAAACAGAGCTCTCCAAGATGCACACATGTAAGAAACTGCCAATAGGATACCCTCAGTCATGTTCTTTTGGTAATTAGGCGATTCATGTCATTTATATTTTAATATACCATCAAGAGAAGAGAAAACATCTCAGGACTAACAAAAAAAAGCCATGTGCTGCTAAAACCAGTATTGAGAGCCATTAATCATAATAGTTTTATTTCCTACAGAACCACGTCATGATTACTATTTTTAAAGTGTTGTTTTTAAAGAATTGAGAAAATTCTTTAATGGACTTTGGGAAAATAAGCCAGCAGACTTGTTTTGAAAGTGTCAGAATAAAAAGGATTCTTGGAATTTCTGGGAAGAGCGGCCTGCTTCCCTATTTCTGTGCTGAAGATCTGCTCTGTGCCAGCCCCTAGCTCAGTGCCAATTTGCAGCATGAGAATTGTTTCCCAAAAAGCAGATTTTACATTAAGTGCTGGCTACAGCTAAGGAAGCAGCATTAAACTAGGAACCAATACAGCAGACAACGTTCAGGCCCTTTAGAACATATAGAAAATTCTCAAATCAAAGAGATAGCACTAAAAAGCCTACTATCAAACTAACAAAATTGACCTCTCCCTCCTACACCAAGATGTATGCAGCAAGAATGTTCTGGGTGACCAACAAAATCTGAATCAGATGTGAACTGCTCTTAACCAGGGGCAGCAACATCACCCCCGCTGAGACTGCTCCAGACTGTAAACTCCACTTAGAGCAAACCGTTTCCAAATAATCTCATCTCTGCTAACCCCGGGATCTCTCCTGGCACTTGAAGTCATGTCGCTCCAGAAAGCAGCTGGTGAGAGATGCTCTCAAGAATCCAGACAAATGACAGTTTTCAGCCCTGGAAAAACAGCTAAGCAGGGGCGGGGAGGCAAACACCCAGAGTCGTTCCTATCCCGCAGCTATTGCACAACCGCCGCCGCGATCTGCCCGGCTGGCGGGCGGGCTGGGAGGAAAATCCTTGTGTGCAGGAACTGGAGGGCTCTGTTTCCAGAAGATGCACCTGTGTCACAGCTGAGGAAGTTCAGGCACACGGTCTGAACAGGTGCCTGCATGCCAGCCATTCCTTCCCGTGGGCCCTTCATGGAACAGACAACACCACGAGCCTCAACAAGAGCTCAGCTCATGGGTGGGCCTGCGAGCATTGTTCTCCAGGCGTGTAATTGCACTCCCAACCACCTCACTCTACAGGCAGATTTAAAATGAGCAATTAATTAAAAGCTATTTTAAAACACTTACTGAGGCTATTCTCTATTGCCAACAAATCCAGGCGCTAAAGCAGAAGAGGATTTGCTGCTTTGTAGCCTTTCATTTCTTTGAACCAATAGAAGAATAAATTTCACCATAACGAAGAAACGTAACAACAGTATATGGAACATGAAAAGTAGATACACAGTAATGTAGAAGTTAATACAGTGATTGCCCCACTTAACCTATCGTGTTTCTACTTTCAGAGGCAACTGCTGCACAACCAACCAAGCCAATTAGTTTAAAACTCCTCCTTTTGGAAGCAGGAGCTCCTAATTGCATTATTTCCAGAATACCACACTAAGTGTAAATTCTACCCTTAAAAGTTGTACTGACAATCTGATGTTAGTTCTCTTGTCTTCCCTGTCACACGAGGTGCAGGCTCCACCTGAGGAGATATCAAGGAGTGTATGACTGCACTGACAGCACAGTACACAGATGTTGCTGAGAGAGCTGCAGGGACAATATTAACGGTTCAGGTACTTAAAATGGCAACAGGCTGTCGGGACAATCAATATCTGTTTTTGCACTCCCGCTGCCATCTAGTGGCTACACAGCCAGATACATGCCACCGAACCATCAACCCTCCGGTGCTCATTCAGCCTTCAGTGCCAGAAAGTGCAGTTGTCCAAAATTTACAGTCCATGCTAATCACTAAAGCTCACACAGGAGAAAAGAGGAAAATGAATCTTTGCTTTGCTTTCTTCCTGTGCTCACTACGTTTATGGAATTCCCTCAACATAATAGAAACATGCTTATCTGCCTTACATATATAAAGCAAACAAGTATTTCTCCTGTATTGTTACACATGAGATGCTGATGGCATAGTTTTATTACATTTTATTCTATAACGACCATCTAATTATACAGTGCAATCTGTTTTGTGTGTTTTTTTCCCCCCCCAACAAAGTCTTGTGAAACCTTGCCTCTTATATTCCAAAAAAAGCACCTTGACTAACAATATTAAACTAACTTTCTTCTCCTGGATGATGCACCTCCCTGTAATCTTTGGTAGGTTGTTCACCTCATGTACACTCACTGTAAATTAGACTGATAAGCAAACAGAAGTTACATTTTGCATATACAATACTTTAATGTCAGCTGGGGTCATGACCTAAATATATCCACTAGACTCACATACCCCACAGGAAAACCTAAGTGATATGTTATGAAATGTCAAATGCTTCCTATTAAAAATAATTTAGAACTATTTAAATATCTGGATTTTTAGATACAGAGTGAAAGAAAGATCAGTTCATTTCACCTTCTTAGACAAAAAAAGAAGTGCTGCTATCTTATGAAGACTTTGTGACAAAATCATCATGGAGTGGCCTAGGGTATAAGATGACAGCACTCTTGCTGCCCTGTGTCAGATCAATGCACAGCAAAGAAACACCACCCACTTCCAAACACAGTTTAGAAATGGTGGATAATGTTTCTTATTTACTGGCTATCTGACACGTGTGAAAATTAAGATTTGGAACTTCATGATAAGCTCTCCAAACTGCTTCAAGGAGGTTGCCGAAATACAAGAAACCTTTGCTTAGAGGAAATGTTAGGTTGACTCTCACTGAAAAAAGCAGAAGAAGGTTAAAATATGATTTAAGCTGTTTCTTACTTCCTGATTTAAATAATGACTGACTCCTGCAGCAGACCTGGAATTGCTTTCCTTTCCCACCTCTGTGCTGTGGAATAGCTGGTGATCCCATCCTGCTGCACTTGCACTCCCACTGTAGGCTGGCAGAGGACCCAAAGTGAGCCAAGTCCCTGAGCCCGACGCCGGGCACACCTCACCCCATGCTGGTGTGCTAATGCATGCACTAACCTGGCTTTTTAGCAATAGTTTCCTTTCTCCTGTGCTGCCTGCCTCCACAGGCTTCAGGAGAGAAGCTACACTAAGCCCAAGACTCCTGCAAACGCAGCCCATGCAGATGCCATTCGATCTGACAGGCACTGCCCTGCTGTGTGGAAAAGCACAAGTTTCTTGTTTCTTGTAGTGCTTTCTGTGTTATTGTTAATGATTAAAGCAGTTCTGAAAGTAAACATCTGTAATTGTTCCAAATACAAGATGACATTTGTTGCATAAACTGGTTTTAATTACTTTGTGGCCATGAATCTTTTTCTTAAATCCAAGACGGTGGTTTCATAAACAAGGAACTAATCCAATGGCCAAAAGCAAAACACACCCAAACATTTCCCTAACTTTCCTAGCTAAGTTGAGATAAACAACAGCATACAAATTTTCAGAATGGATATTATTTTATCTTTGTAGACAAACATTTTTCTTGCTATTATTTTCAAGGCAACATTAATACAGACCGAACTTTAAAATTATAGCTGCCTATTTCAGTGGTTTCAGCTAGAAAAATGATCATTTCAAGCTACCAAAAAAAAAAAGTATGCTGAAAAATTTTAAATGGAAACATTTGAGTTGCACACACCAGAAAATGTTTCATTTAAACTAAGAAATTAGAGGATAGAGCTTGCAGATGTTCGCTCATTGTTTCAGAGTGAGGCTTAACAGCAGGCTAATGTCTACAGCTCAACAAACAGAGCATACAAACTACAAAACAAGGTTATACAGTAGAGAATATGAACAGCATTACCAGAGCTCAGAAGCATCACACCAAGTATTTTGTTTCCTTCAGAAGTACTTAAGGTTAAGGACTTCGGGAATATTCTTCATTCAGATATTTTAAAACATGCAACAATTAAAATATTCAATTCAGAAAGAACACGATGTGGAAATATCCTTACCAAGTAGAGCAGAAACGTGTGGAGGCCTGTTCCAAGTCCAACAGAGGACAGAATGCCTAATCCTACCCAGTAGGCACACCAGAAGAACTTCTTCTCCATATACCGCACATACTGAAAAAGAAAAGTCACAGAAGAGAGAAAAAAAAACAAGGATGGTGATGTCCCCTAGGGGAGAGAGTTAAAGCTACAAACTAACACAGATAGTTATCTGGATTAGACACCAGAAATAGAATCCTAGATAGGTGTACTAGCAATTCATTGCAATGACAGCACAGACATGTACAGAAAATCAGCACGTTTTGAAAAGAAATGCCAACAGGCCTTAGAACCACCGAGTTCCCAGGGAGACATGAAACAATTCAGCTTCAAGAGTAGGGAGCTGAAATCGAGACCAGGCACACGAGGTGTGAGCAGTGAGCAGCAAGCCCCAAAGTGCCTGCTGGAGCCCAAGCAGTGAGCAGACAGATCAGGGAACTGCCTGGACAGATAGTGAGCTGCACTCTCAGTCTGCTGAATGTTTTATCGTGGATCAGTGAGTAACCAGGTTCATTACATTTAAGAAAAATATTAAAATGTTGGTTGTGTGTTGCACACAAATAAGCAGATATGGGAAAGTCACAGCAAATTCTGGACACAAAGTCCAGCTGGGTCCACTCTCCCTCTCACTGCCACAGCAGCAATGCTAAGATGAGGAGCCACGTCCTCAACTCGTCTGTACATCACAGCCCCAAGAAGAGGAGCCATTTTACACCATCCATGGGCCAACACCAAGATGAAGTTTACCAGTTTTAAACAGGCTTCAGTCTGCCAGAGTCTAAAAAGGTCCTGAAAATGTCAAAATATCCTTCACTATTCTTAGTATGGTTTTGGAAAAAAAGAGGCTCATGTTCAAGTATACATTGGTGGTACAGAGAGATGGGTAGAGATGCTAGCAGGACATGGACCTCAGGGAAGGAGCTCTGAAGGAAGGGAGATGGACAGATACCTGCTGCCACAGTGACTAAGACCTCCCCAGAAAAGAGAGCTCCAGGCACTGGCTGACCTTCAGGTAATGCCAGTCCCAGAGGCACAGGACTGTTCCCAGCAGGCTCAAGGAACCCTCTTGAGCAACACTGCTGTGCTAAGCCTCGGGCAGCAGAGGTCTAGCAGCCAGCTCAGAGGCCAGGAGCCCCAACACAAGTTTGCAAGGGCCATCTAGTGGCAAATGTGGAGAGCATCAAGCTCTGGCCTTCCTGCTGGCAAGGCCACCAACCAGGGCAGATTTTAATGGCCATCAGGAATGGGCCACTGATTTACCACCATACCAACTGGCTCTGCATCCAAGTGCTTAGATCTCAAGCATGGGATTGAGTGAGCAAGAATGCAATGAGCTGAAGCAACTCACTTCCCTGCATTTCAAGAGCCATCCTGGGAAGCCAGGACTCCTGTTCCAGATCTGCATGTCCCTTAGGCAGCTAGTGACATAGCACAGCAGTATGGCTGTAAGCAAGTTCTCTGAAACCAGGGACCTGCTGATTTCAGGGTCAGAATAATAAGATAACCCAATTGCACAAGGACATGCTCTGCAGGTCTTAAAAGGGCTGCCTGCCCTCAGGGAAAAACTGAAACTCAGAGAAATGGGGTGGGGAAGGGTGTAGACAAACACCATCACCTTATGCTGAAGCAATGGCTTAGGTGTTAATGTGCAAAAGCATCAGTCTTCACAAACATCAAAGCACAAAAAAGTTTTTAAACAATGATTTGAAAACAATGGAGGTATGAGAAGCATCACAAAACCAGATTTGAACCGTGAAAGCATTTTATGTCTAGATATTTGCCTATACATCAAAGCACAAAAAAGTTTTTAAACAATGATTTGAAAACAATGGAGGTATGAGAAGCATCACAGAACAGATTTGAACCATGAAAGCATTTTGCCTATCCTAGCTGGACAGAGGACCCTTCCATAGAAGCAGAAGAAACCTTTATTTGGAACCACAAAGGTCTACCATGACTCAGTTTAGCACCATATCTCAAGAGCTTGCACCACCATGAAAAGCTTGTTAACAGCAGACATGAAGGAGTGCTGCAGCACTGGAGGTGTGCTGCTTCATGAACGGGTGAGAAGAACACCTACAGATGCTAGATAAGTGATGCAATTGATCATTCCTCATCTCAGACCACAACTCACCCTCACAGAGAGGAGCCGTGACACGAGAAACAAATATCTTAGTGAGTAGGTGTTCAAAAGCTACATTACAATTTCATGAAGACCCCGTTCAGTTCCCAGTACGTCTACTTTAGCACAGGGACAGGAAATATTAGTCACTAAAGAAAGTAACTTGAAAGCCTCATACCTGTTGATGTGTTCCTTCAATGTAATACGTAGCTGTGAGCACTGCAAACATCAGTAAAAGAGACACCAGGATGCTGCGCCGATGCCACAGTCTTAAAAGACAAAGGGCAGTTAGGGTTTTTCAGCATTCAGCATGCATTTCAGAAAAACTTAGTGACCCCTGCAGACTGGTCTGTGGAGACGTAGTCAGCAGGGACAATAGCAACTGAAAAGTTTGCTATTATGAAACCATAAATCTCCCAAGAAAACATCCAGGGAACTTTTATTCTTTATGGAAAAAATCTCTACTTCACTCTCAGATGAGATCAAAGCTCAGCCATGCACTTTTTTTTTTTTTAAGTAAAGAAAAACAAAGTAAATTGTCTGAAAACAAACAATCTGAAAACAAATATCCAGCTCCTGCAGCCAAGACAGTCTCAACTACAGGGCCATGAACAACCCCCATGGTTAAACAAAGTGCAAAGCAAGGACTGCACTGGCCTGGGGCAGGGGACAAGCTGTGGCTGGAATACAGAAGGGCCAGTTTCACACTGTGTGCTGGTGGGGAGAACCCCAGCAACAGGGAGATGAACAAACCTTTGCACTATTTTGCTTCTCCTGATCTATTGAAATTAACGTCTCTTGTAACAGCTCCAAGTTTAATAAATACATTTTAGGTAATTATGAAGGGCTAGGGAGCTACTACAGTAAGGGGAGAAAAGCACTTTTCTATGTCATTGGATACCAAATTACTTCTGAGCCTGTTTACTTTTCCATACACATGCTGCTCGATGTGTATGAGGCCACACACAGTAGATGAGCAAACAGAATTATTCTTTTCTGGGAAACACTATTGTACTGTCACCTAATGATATGAAAAAAAGCAAGTGCTAGCATCACTTAAAAATCTCAGACATGAAACAGCAAATTAGGAACATAACTTATCTATTTAGAAAAGGACAGAAATATGAGAAGCGTAATACACGAAAACAGCCACAAATGTTTCATATTAAGCAAGCTGAAAAATGTCATTAACTTTAATTTCAAAATTATTTGTGCTGACTATATTAGGATCACAATTGGATTTTCAAGTGATTGTCATCATTTAAATCATAATTTATTCAAGTGGAACACAGGAGATCATTAAGATTCAGTCTGAAGGCCCAACTTAATAGCTTGTAATAGCCAATGTTATTTTCTGCAGAGATCTTGTCCTGCTGGTGCTAGACAAACGTGCTGCATAGCAGAGGATGTGAGGGCTATCTGTAACAGAATTTGACCTCTAGGAAGCCAGGTAAAAGTCAGCTTAAAATAAGAGCTCAAATGTTATTTCTTCTGGGTTTAAATACATGCTTGGAGGTTGTCACCGATGGCTAACGTAACACCAAATCCTCAAAGAAACAATTCCCAACAATTACTGAAAGAATGCACAGAGTAAAATAAGTCAGTTTGGGGGTTAGATGGGGTGTAAAAGGGGATTAATTCTACAGTATGGAAAACTGGTATTTTTCAGACAAATAACTTCAGAAGATCAAAATGGAAAACAGAAGTTTCTCTCTGTGGATCTCACGTGTCAGCACCTGGAACGTAGCCCAGGAGGGACAGTGAACACAGCCCACTGTCACCAGTCTCACTCACTCCAATGGCTCAGTCACCCATGGTGGCACTAGATCCTGTGTCCTGACTGGGAAAATTATTGTGAACTCCACCCCACAAGCAAGGGATTCCAGTTACCAACACAAGCACTGGGATGGCTGTGACTCTTGGCTTTTTCAGTTCCCACTTTTATTCCTGTTTACCTTTTGGCACTCTAAACCTTCTCAAGCCTAGCACATTAAGAAACAGCTTTGCATTGCAGCATTAGTAGGGGATGTTAGGACTGCCCATTGGGAATTTTCTCACTGGAATAAAAGCCCATTTTATCCAGCGTGTAAATAATGCTTTGGGAAAATGCTTTAATAAATCATATCCTGCTGTGGAAGGGACCACGTAGCCTAGAAGCAAAGTCCTCTTGGCAGCATCATAAACATCACTGCAAGCTCCACACAGTCCTGAACCCTGCCCTAGCTGAGCTATCTGAAGATCATTCAGCAAAACTAACACATACATTAATTGATAAGTACTTAACACTGCAGCCATAAGCACAATATCTCTTGCCTTAAGGATCCCTAAACACTGTCCCACTCCTTCAAACTGGAATATTCAACTCTTCAGAAAGGAAGTTTGCAATTGTCTTCCACTGACAAAATATAAAAATATACAAAAATAAATATGTTTCCTGAAAGAAGAATTTTCAAGTTGTGAGTCAGCAGGGGAAGCGAGATGTCAGAATGACCTACTGAATCAGAGCATGGGTTTCCCCAGAACGCTTAGTAGAAGTTAAAGAAATGATCTTTACTTTATGGTCCATTCCTTCAAGTTTATTAGAGTTTCCAGGACAAAATACTGCAAGGTAAGAAGCGGTTGTTTCCACAGGACGATATTCAACCTTCCTTCCCGGTCCCTCCGCTGCTGCTCGCTCAGCAAAGAGGGGTCTGCAAATGAAAAGCAACAGAAATGTAAAAGCACAGGCTGACAGTTCAGGTTCCATCCTTCCCAAAAATGTACTAAATCTTTGTTTGTTTTGTTAGGAAGTTAATATGAGCTCCCAGTCCCCTTTTCTACTCCTGAAAGTATTTGCTGAAGTGCATCAGCAACCAGGTGACCTCCAGTAAAGGAAACAAGGTGGCTTTTGCTCCACCTAGCTGACAACCATTCAAGAATCTAACTGGTCCAGGGTGCAAATCTATCAGCCTTTACACAAGGAACTGCACCACTTCTTACCAACCAACTACATTTGGTCAAACGTGACTCCATCACCCACTCCATGGACCACGTTTCACTCTGAACTTTTGAATTTGGTTCTCTTCCAAAGCTATTCTCAGACTTCTCCAATGGAACTAGATTGAATTACACGTGCTCTTTACGCACATCAGCCACCATGTAACTGGATGACAGCACCTATCCCCCCAGGCAGGATCCTCAGGCTATGGCAAGTCTCACCACACTGTTCAGCCTCTCCAGCATAAGCCCAGCAGACAGGAACCACTGCCATGAAAAAGATCTGCTCTTATACCTGCTTTTACACCTGCTCTAACACCACAGTGCTCTGCCAGACTGACACTGGGCATCTGGTCACTTTTAACAGCAGTGATTTGGTTACAACGGAGAGCTCAACACCAGTCACTGTATGCTACTCTACATGTACAGAAGAAAGGTTCTGCTAATAAACGTTGTACTTTGTGCTTACAACACCATCTACAGTAATAAAAACTCTTCAGAGGTTATCATGATAAGGAGAGGTAATAATTTTTACAGATTTCAGAATTCATTTTCTTTAAAAGAAGGGAAAAAAATTATAACACTGGAAAAAAAACACACGAAAGTAACTCTTGTATCCAAACAGACAACAAACTTGTTTAAACATCACTTACTATGAAAGTCAAAACACATCATTCTGTTTTATATGCATTAAAGCATTGCAATAATACCAATTTAAATTTGTAAAAAGCTGTTGTATTTTAAATATTCATCTAATCTGAATCCCCAGCATACTGTAACCCACGATGTATTATTTCAGTCTTATTCCAGTAACTGAAACATGCTGCATTGTTAGATGCCAAGATTTACACAGAAATTGCACACCTCATTAGTCACACAACCCATTTCATTTGGTATTCTTTAGCTGTAAGCATCAGTTGCTTTAGATGAACTACCAGAAATCCTACAATGGCAATACTGGATAACTCCCACATCCCCTCAGAGATCCAGAATGATTTAAGCCTTTAAGTAAAAGGAATTGATTTGTTCCATACATACACACATACAGTTTCTCTTTAAATTTTGCCACATTCATTGCTTCAAGAATTTCCATTCTCTATTTTTTTCCATTTAATGTCTGTAATAAAAATGCTTCAACCTTGTTTTCTTTATGACCTTGTTTTCAGTAAAAGTCATAGCAGACAATGGTGCAAGACCTCACACAACTTGAGAAATCGCCTGGTTACAAAACTTAATTAAAGATGGAACTGCCACGTTCTGAGCTGACAGGAGACAAACTAAGATAATTATAGTTTATATGCTATACTACACAGCACAGACAATTCAGTGACACGAGGCTCTTCTTGAAATGGTCATAGGTTAATTTTCCCCCAGTTCTAAATATGAACCCAAGCCTAATTCAGACACACCAGGAGTAACAACAGAGGCGAGGCAGGAGATGAAGCAGTTAACTCTTTTGTTAGTCATTTATCACTGGAACCAATAAATTCTAATGAAGCTAAATGTCACCAGAAAACTAGACATTGGGAGACTAATAGCTGGATTTCTGCTGGAGTAAAATGAACTTTTATTACCAAATACTAACATTTCAGTGCCAAAGGGTGTGGCTGTGTAGCCTGACTTCTACAACCACATATTTGCCAACACAGTTGAGTTTTTTAGCTCAGTCCTGTTGCAGCCCCTGTTGGTAGCCATGCTGGGGTAGAGGGAACAACTGCACATCTACTACAGAATAAGAACTCTGGAGGGAGAAAAGAGTGTAAGAGAAAACCAAAAGGAAATACAGCATAAAACTATTCCGTGGCTTTACAATACGTAAATCCTCCAGACTCCAGATGTGGAGATGACTGAAGTTTCCAGGATGGATTCAGCCATGGAAGTCCTTCACATCACCTGGGCATAAAGGGCACGGACACAAATTCCTTTTGGGTACTGTACCAGCCACTTTGCACCAAGCTGACCAGCTGAGAACATTAAGTCATTTTCCACCTACCTCTGAAGTTTCCATTGTGCTGTTCTTTGATCATTCTTATGCGCCTCTGGTCACAATCTGTTCCATTCTCTGCCATTTCATAGATCTCTCACGTGTGGGGACCTAATAGCAAAATAAACCCAAAAAGCAGAATGTCTCAGTTTCTGGTTATGAAGACTCCATTTACTCCATAGTCAAAGAATACAGGCAAACATCCAGCAGTTCTCCAAATCCAAATCAGTTATCATGCAGGACACCATTAAAAAGGAGAAAGTGATTCAACTCCCACAAGGACCAAGATTAAAACATTTCCACCTACATAAATCTAAATTTTTCACTTCAATGACAAAACTCCCTCGCTTCTAACAACTGAACAAAAGCTTGTTAAACAATCCCTTCTACTAATCAGACCAGTGTTTGGGCTCCAGAAGCAGGAAGGCTTCATACAAACCTCAGTTCAAGCCTGAGAGAGGCACTTAAGATTTGATTCTCATACTAGAACACACCTATTCTGGCACTAAGCTTACAGGTAGGCAGCATGCAAGTAGCCCTCAAACACCTCACAGCCTAAAAAACCATTCCTCATTATGATAACCAAGAGAGAGAACTGCACCCCCTGTTTTGCACAGTCTGGGGTCTCTAAACCAGAAGAGGTTAACTCGCCAGGGGACAGGAGCTCCCTGATGAAAAGCTTTTCTGAAGTGTACATCCTCCCTCCTGGCTTAGCCTCTCCCTGGCGAGGTCAGCCTTAAATGTGCAAAGGAACAGCTGCAGTTTTGCTTATCCAGGAGAGTAAATAGCACAAAACCTGAAAGCCAGCATAAATCACAACATTGCAAGAGCTTTTCTTTTTTCCTTAAGACACCCAAACCTGAACAGCTGACAATTCTTATACAACTGAACTCAAAGAGAGTAGCCAGTCAGGCTCCTTGCCTTAAAAATCCTATCTTGAATAGTAAAACACTTTCTGGACTTTATTTTGGAAAAGAGAGTCTCACAAAGCAAAAGCATCTTATTTGCATTGCATCTCAACCCGTTAGCAAACATGATTTACAGTTTCTTATATGCTGCTTTTGTTGCAAAGAAAAGTAGTGAAATGTTAAAATGACAGATCCTATAAAACTGCCGAGTGGAGGAAATTAAACTTTTACAGAAAAAATACTTCCCCTTTGATTTATGTTAGGCTTAAGAGCCAAGCAGCAACTTGAGTTCAGTAAACAGGAGTGAGATCAGCCCTTTGATTCAGACTGCAATAACATTGTCAATTTTTTTCAATAAAATGTTAAAAGATTTCAGATGCTACATTTGTTTGATATTCCCAGGGTTTCACAAGTCACTTTTAGACAGATGTTCTTCTAAACAGGTACAAGCCTTGCACATTACTTGTAATACAGATAAAATTGCTAACTAGAATGTGGTTTTTAAAGGAATTTTACTTAAAACCCAACAGTCAAAAGCATCAAGTTCTCGAGGACTCCTCCCTCCAACACCTCCTTCCTGAAATGGAATGCACAGAAATAGAAATCTCTCCAGTTTAGCAAGCTAGCAAGAACTAATCTCTAGGCTGTTACAGTTTTTATTCCTTGAAACTTGGCCCTCAAGCCATCAAGAAAACTCATAAAACAGCCTTGAAAAGGTTTGCTTCCAAAAAATGCTGAAGGGCACCCTAGTCAGTCAAGGACAAAGGATTGACCTGCTGCAGTAAGAGCTCTACAGCATCACTCAGCAGTCACCTGCAAGTGAAGGTTTGCTCTGAGCTGCCAGCCTGACACCACAGAAATGTGAACCTCCTCCTCTCCTCAGGTCAGTTTTATAGCAGCCTGACACTCTGGAGACTGCTGGAGTGACACCCATCCCCACCTGAGGATAACTGGCCTGTTGCTATGGTGATCCAGGATCAAATGTTCAGGCATCTCCTAATTTCATCAGGACAGCAAGTCCCTGTAGATGGTGGAGTGTTTTGTTTCTACTGACTGCACTCGTGCACTTATTTATGTATGTTGTATATGTGTCTAAATACATATTTAAATAAGCTTATATACACACTTACATACAAGGATCACACAGAGGTGCTACACATGCATCTACACACACAAAGCTCAGGCTGCAGAAGGCAGTGCTTAAACTGGGCAGTTTGAGAGCCTGATGCTCACAGAAAGCTGCTGAGGAAGCAAATCCAGCAGATCTGGTTTGTACACAGCCACACTAAAAAAGAGTTCTGGTTTAGGGAACTTCAGTCACATTTTGTTGGCTTAACTGTAACAAGCATTTTTTTAAAAAAATTAAGTTAAAGTTCCTCATTTTGAAACTTGTCTTTTTTCCTTGCACAAATCTAGCCTTCAAAATTGAAGTCTCAATTGGTTTGGTCTCTGTTCTCATCTTAATTACACCTGAAATTATATTTCAGTAAAGTTAATTTACTAGGATACAAACTGCTCACTGTGCTTGATGCTAAATCTCAGCTCTGCACCACACTCCCTCCCCATGAACTGAATTCTGCTGCAACCCACTAAACGTCCTACTGGGGCATAAAAATCATCAGTCCCTGGGGACCTCAGGTGCCTTGTTATGTAGATATTCCAGCTCCCACAAGCCCAGATAACAGAGCCAGCCCTAAAGCCCTGCCTGCTTGGAAAGGCATTGATCTGGGATTAGCTTTCCCTAACACTACCTCAAGTACACAAGCCAATGCTGACAGCAAAGCAGACAAATAATCCCCTTGCCCACTTCTGTAGGGCAAATACTTGTAAAGAAGATCTTAAAGTTCAACCATTCTGCAGAAAAACTCTAAAAACTTCTATTTACAAATACAGTTCACGAAGTCATTTGACACCCATTACATCACAAGTCCAAACAGGCTGCAAGTCAGAAACCAAACCCTTAAAGATTTCAGAAAAAAAACCTCCTTGATTAACCAAAGTCTAATTATACCTAAAGCATCTTAACCTAAGGAACTGGAGGATGTGCATCCAGAAGGCTCAGCTCTCTGATCTGTTGCTCTGTTTGATGTCTCCTAGAATCACTAGTCCTGCACTAATGTCTCCCCATGGATAACTGGAGTGGGAGTCTGACCCCAAATGGAGTTACTCTTCATTAACCAAGTCCCCACCCTCACGTCTACACCAAATCCAGAGCTCACCAGGGGCAACTACATCCCACTTGCTAACCAGAACTTCACTTCTTATGAATGCTGAAAAAGATGGAGTCCATATCTAAAAAATAAATTTGCCTAATACATTGACTAGTTACCAGCAAACCCCAAAATAAACTATTTTAAAGAGTAAGAAAACCAACTCTGAACAGTTTTTGTATCGGGATCGCTGACATCATTTGTTAGAGCTGGGCTCACACAAGAACTTCTTTGTAGGGCTGAACAAATAGCTCACAATACACTATTCAGCTTTAGTGCAAGCCATAACATTAAGTATAAAAAGACAATTATTGCTAGTCAAAAATGTAAATTGGGCAATGAAAAGGGCTTCTGGTAACTGTGACTGGCACTTCACAGCATGAGTGAGACAAAGCAAAACAATCTATTAAGAGCATGAGAACATAACAGAATTAGGCACTGCAATCTCTGAACTCTAATCTGAGAAGAGGACAAAAGTCTCTTCTTTCTGAAGCTCTGGGGAGGTTGCTGGAGCACCCAAGTGTTGGGTGCCCTTACGTCAAAGGAAGCAGCTTAAGACAAGGCAGTTGGGTGCTTCACTCTCACTTGGAGCAGCAGAATGTGGACTCACGTTCTGGACTAAGGAATTTCTGAGGACCCCTTTCCAAGGAGACCCTGGAACCCTGACTCTCAGCTCCAACCGTTACTTGTCAGACAGCTGCCAGAACCAGATTTACAGCCTAGACAGTTTTGCTGATGTTTTCTCCCAGCCACCTTACAGCAACACCATTTTCAGTCTTTTGCCATTTCTTGCATGTGAAGCCAAATGCTTCGATCCTGCCAGAATCCTGCTGCTTCTTTCTCCTCAGCTTTTCTGATAACCACTCCTTCTTCTTTATCCACATCACTGTTCTTCAATTCCAATAAAGAGAAGACTAGAAAACACTTCCACAGGTGGGTGAGTAATTGCACTAAACTCAGCAGCATTATGCATTGGTAATACCGTTTTGTTTCAGTCATCAAGTGCTCTACACAAACAACAATTCTCACAGGGAGTAAATTAACAGTTCCTTGGCAAAGTGAGAGTCTGGAGAGCACTCTCCCCCAGAAGTCAAAGACTTAGTGGCACGTGCAGACGTTTAGGTAAGGGCTGAGATGAGTCCTGAAGTGACAGGTTACGTACCCGCTCAGCTCCACACCACTACGTCACTCTTCACTGCTTCTTCTGTATCTGAAGGCAGTGGAACACACACCACCAAGTCCTCAGCTCTGCAGACATTCAAGACCAAAGCAACTGCTCTTCCAAACCTTCTGTCCCTACAGAGCAAGATAATACTGTTTATCATGTGATACAAAACTGACACAGTCCCTAACCTGAAGGTTAATAACTTTCCTAAAGATGACACAAAATAGAAAAAGCAACTGCTTGATTATTTCCAGTCCTTTAGCACTCATGGGAAGCATTCAATTAAAATAAATTAGGACACATCTGAAAGATGTTCAAAATCCCCACGGGTTTAGCTATAATGGGTTACTTTGATACAAGTGCATTTATTCCCATACTAAAAACGTTTTTCTAACTAAAATAGTTTAATCCCTCAAAGGAGAAGTAATTCAGTTAAAGACCACAGGATTCCATTTTGTGGGTTATGCCTCTGTACACCAGACCTATTTTCCAATTCCTAGCCAAATACAATTTAAAAAAAAAAAAAAAAAAGTCCTTTTACAATTTAGAGTTAAAATTTCCATTTTTCCAAAAAGAGTTTGGGAAAGAATGGTTTCAAATTGTTGTAACACAAGTTTCAGGGATGCCACACGTTTTCTTTTGAGGTTTCTAGAAGTTCTGTCCCTGCCATGAAACTCTTCTCCTTTGTGGGTTTCCTCAGGTGAAACATGAAGACCAACAGTTGTCTGTGTAGGTCCAGCAGCAGAATCATGTGCTGTAATAACACTGTTGAGTCACAACAGATAGATGCAGAAGCATGGAAGATGGCAGGAAA